TGTTTAGATTTGAACCCAAATTACAATAACAAAACTGCATAGAATATTAGGCTTGTTCACACATCGCCTCGTAGTCATAACATAAGCGGAGGAATACACCGGAAATTTTCTAAATTTCTTCCGGTTTAAGGACGCTTATTGTTGTTTACATTAGACCACCCATCCATATGCAAATTAATTAATGAACTCGTTATTTTAAGTTACGACATCAGACGCAAAAACGCACTATATAGTTCCTGTGAAATCAAATTTTAAAAAAGTCAGATATTTAAACCGATTTCGCCTCAATTATGCCGAGCAACAAACATAGATCTTACTAACGCTCGGCCATAGAGGCATTCTCATTGCTTACGTTGACGGGGGATTTACATCCATCAGAGCTTTTGCATCTGAACTTTGTTTCTTTATAACGTTAAGAGCAGTTGCCAGAAATAGCTACAAGCTATTTTTTGTATCGAACTACTCACTGCACTAAACTCTACGGAAAAAAAGTGGCGACTACAGTAGCTTCGCTACTTGTAGCACACTACTTCCGACCACTGGATTTGAACTAAGCAAGGATAAGTCTATTTACTTTTTCGTCTTTAAGTCGTTTCCGTAACACTTTGCAGGTGTTTCTTAGTGAGGATTCAGTACACAAATGGTCGAAAAACCTATGAATAACGCTAAGAAGGAAACAAAAAATACATTAATAAAGGTAGAAAAAATTTATGACAATTATTAATATTTAATTTTTTTCTTAATTTCTAAAGTTTTTACAATTATCGTCCGTAAACCGGTGTCACAAACTATCCTGTATTCAAGGAGTTTTAAAGTTGTTTCTTTCGTAATACATAGTATAAGTTAAGAATATTTTTTAAAAGTGTTAAATTAGTCGGAGTATAACTATAGAAGAGAATAAGAAAGAGCTCTTTCATTATGAAACAGAAAACTAGTAGTTTTCTCAAAATTTCGTTTGAAGTCTATGATCAGTATTCATCAACAGTTATTGGGCCGAAATATATTTGAAATTTTGTATATTACTTTAAGATAGTGTCAGCTTTATAAAGCAATACTACTAGGAATACATATTAACTGTCTCGTGATATGACTGCGTCGATTTAATTCGAGCTTAATTTCAAGCTGTACTAAAAGGGGGGGAAAATATTTTTTTAAATTTAGCATAAAACTATCATTATTTACCCATTGCATCGCGAGTTTTCTTTTTTTTTTTTCTCTCTGAAGGATCGCTAAAAACAAATTCTCAACGGCTGAATTTTTAAGACTTTCGCAAGAAAATTTTAGAAAATATTGTTTAAATGTTGCTCTTTTGTATATGCCTTAAAATTTAAATAAATAATGTACTAATGCCTAAGTTAGTAAGTTTATCAGTCATGTACTTCTAATATTTGAAATTCACTTTGCCAGAGAAATGTTCGCTCACTTGGGTGCTTTATTTTCGGGTTAAAATAAGAGGATTTATCCGAATATGTAGATTATTATAGATTCAAAGATTTTGTGCCTTAACACATCTTGGATTATTGCTGTTTCCTATAATTAATGGTTTTAATTTCTCAGGGCTAGTTATACTTGCACCTAGCATGATAGTTACTCTTGCTTTGCCATGTTTTCCTCCAAAGCATTTTACACTTTTAAATGTTAATGTCATCTGAGGCAGACATCGAAAAAATAAAGATCGGAATGTTTTACAAGTTAAGTGTCCGCGAAAATCAATTCCAATTCATTTCCCACATAAAATGCATTAACAAGTTTGAAATGTTCTGAAATATTTAGGGAAATAGGGAAAATGGATCTCAAAGAAAAATTCGTTAAATGGAAAACTCACTTCGCTATTTGGAAGTTATTTTACGAAGAAATATAAGAAGGAAATATACAAAGAAATATTCGAAATTATACAAACTTTGGTTTTTACTGTTATCTAGTTTTAAGAATTTAATAATATTTGGTTTAAATTTCAATAAAATTTACAACATAAAACAAAATTTACATTTTTATTAATTTTAAAAAAATTTTGAAATTCCTTGAAGAAATTTATTTTTCGTTTCCTAATGAATTTTTTTTTTTAACCTTGACATTTTCCAACTCTAAATTCCTTCCATACTTACTTGCTGTATTTTTATTTTTGATCTTTTAAATAAAATTTGAATTTTTTTTTAAATTCAAAATATAAGGTCTCGCGTAAACATTGCCCCCTTATCAGGAAAAATTAAAAAAATGACAAACTGCTCCCCTACCTTTGGGTGCTTACTAATTCTTGAACGGTTTCAAATGTCAAACACTAATCTGCCGAATTCTGCTAAAAAAATTCCGCCAATTTTATTAAGGAAAATAAAAGATAGAACTTACATCCGCATAACGACCCTGAATAGATAATACGCAATTCGAAATAGTTATATATTTTAAATTTATTATAGAAAATTACGTTTTTATCATTTTAGGAAATAAATCGCATTTAAAAAACCATTTCATAATTTAAGTATCTTATTCTGAAGTCTTTAAGTATGTTATTCTGAAATTTATATATTTTTCAAGGGCATATGACGAAATATTGCTATAATAATGTTAGTCTACAACAAATTTAAATTTAGGACTAATGAAAAAAACAAAAAAAGATTATAAAAAAGCATTCCTTACAACGAAAAAAATTCAGGTACATGAACTAAAAATCTATACGAAAGCATAGACATTTTATAATTCCGTTTAATGTTATCTGTTTTAACTATCTTAAGATTATAAAATTTTTCAAAATATATGTTTGAAAAAGGACATTAATGTAGGCCGAAATAAAATCAATTTTGAAGGTGAAAAGTTAAGTAGATGGTTGTTTAAAAAATTGTATTAAAAATATTTATTTAAAAACTTTATATTCCTGATCAGATAACAATAATGAAAATGCTGCAATATAATTTTTTAAAGAGTTTTCATTTCCGGATATATTTTTCAATAAAATAATTAATGTTCCCTTGATTTTAAAAGTATCTTCATGTTTTCAATTTGAAACTCTCCTTTTTTCTCTTTTCTTTTGTTTTTCTTTTCTTTTTTTCTGCATAAATACACTGCTGAGTAAAATGTTAAATTGTTAAAAAGTTTACTAAAACTTCGGACTGTTAAAAAAAGGAAATCATCAAACAATTTTGAAAAGTTTTTTGTCTTTCCTAAAGTAAAAGTGTTTTGCAATATGTTTTATCGATATGAATAAAACAGAACTGAAAGATTAATAATTATAGTTTAAGCCATCGGTTACAAAAAAAAAGGTCAGAAAAAATCGAGAAAATTACGTTAAAAACAATCACGACTATCCGAAATTTGCACCTCTCTGTTATCAAGGCTAGGTATCTTTGCATTAAAGTATGTGCCATTTGTTTTCGTTTGTTAAACAATATTTACGCAACATTTTTTCTTTTAAATCCACTGAAATATGCGAATCATTGTAATCCATTAATGTTTCTGGTATTATTGAAAATATAAGCCTGAATTCCAGACTGTTTATAAATATCACATTCTACAGATTACGATAAAAAAAATAAAGATTTCAAATATGCTTACATCGTCAGAAATCAATAACTGACTTCTGAAACAGCATATTTTACATACAACAGGAAGTAAACATTTTTTTTAATTCTTAGTGTGTATGACTAATCGATAAAATTGGAAACTTACATAAAGAGTTTGACGACAGTCAGTAGAGAGTTTCTAAATTCGTCAAAACTGACTCGCAGATTCTCGTTAATCTGAAGGTAATGCAGTTCTAGACCTTCAATAAAAATTACATTTAATTATTATACTAACACTCGCATTAAAAACAAATGAAAAAAAAGAGTAGGTAGTTACAATACAATAAATAAAATAGAACACAATAAGTAAAAATAACACGTAAAAACAGAAAATAAAATAAAATAAAAATAAAAAAACAGAATAAAACATAAAACTTGCCCGAAATGGATTTGCACGTGGAAAAATTATATAAATTAACAAAGAAATCTTTTTAGTAAATTTGATTTCTTTGTTAATTTATATAATTTTTCCATGTGCAAATCCATTTCGAGCCCATCCTTGGTAACTAATAAATCAAACGCATTTCAGCAATGCAGTAAGAAAGGCACTTTAAAACAAAGCTCCTCTAGTTACGCTCAAATTGCGCTTTTGTTTTCATATTTTGCAATCTAGCAATCTTGTTACGAAAATATTTTTTAAATCAATCTTGAAAAATTTTTCATGTATTATGTTTTATTCTGTTTTTTTTATTTTTATTTTATTTTATTTTCTGTTTTTACGTGTTATTTTTACTTATTGTGTTCTATTTTATTTGTTGTAATTTTTTTTAAAAAATTTTTTGAGTGCTCCTCACATTATTGTATTGATATATTTTGCTTTGGCTATATTGATANAAAAAGAAAAATAATATTAAAAAAAAATAACAAACAACTGGGGGAGGGGGAGGATAAAATTTTTTTTAAAAATCCGGAAAGTATAAAATATAATCTTTTCATCAGCTCACACGATTACATCCGCAGAAAAGAGTGTTTTTTGATATTGTATCAATATAGCCAAAGCAAAATATATCAATACAATAGTGTGAGGAGCACTCAAAAAAATTTTTTAAAAGAATTACAACAAATAAAATAGAACACAATAAGTAAAAATAACCCGTAAAAATAGAAGATGAAATAAAATAAAAAGAAAAAACAGAATAAAACATAAAACTTGCCCGAAATGGATTTGCACATGGAAAAATTATATAAATTAACAAAGAAATATTTTTAGTAAATTTGAGTTCTTTGTTAATTTATATAATTTTTCCATGTGGAAATCCATTTCGGGCCCATCCTTGGTAACTAATAAATCAAACGCATTTCAGCAATGCAGTAAGAAAGGCACTTTAAAACAAAACTCCTCTAGTTACGCTCAATTTGCGCTTTTGTTTTCATATTTTGCAATCTGGCAATCTTGTTACGAAAATATTTTTTAAATCATTCTTGAAAAATCTTTTATGTTTTATGTTTTATTGTTTTTTTATTTTATTTTATTTTATTTTCTGTTTTTACGTGTTATTTTTACTTATTGTGTTCTATTTTATTTGTTGAAATTTTTTTTAAAAATTTTTTTGAGTGCTCCTCACATTATTGTATTGATATATTTTGCTTTGACTATATTGATACAATATCAAAAGGCACTCTTTTTTGCGGATATAATCGTGTGGGCTGAGGAAAAGATTATATCTTTTATTAAAATGTATACCTTACAATTCAAAATTTTTTTAACCAATATTAAATAAAATAACAAAAACTAATTAACATTTATTAAAAATTATTTTTTTATGGAATTATCTTAGGATAAATGAATTTTATAATTTTGTGCAAAAATTCGCTTAAAAAGTTCTTAAGATATGGCTAAATAGGTTAAAAGTAAAATCAACATTAAAGGGTCCAAACTACCCTTCTCCTGACCAAACTATGGGGACCATATTTCCCAGATTGCGGCTACTCCCTATATTTTAGTGATCAGATATCNAAAAAAAAAAAAAAAAAAGATAAGAAAAAAAAGGTATCTTTATTCAGAGAAAGTACGTTTTTGTGTATGATTTTGTAACTTAAAATATAGTCTGCACTAATTTGATAAGCATATTTGAAATCCCCTCGATCCACTGAAATTGAGTCTTAGAACGTGAAAATGCGATCATAAGATCGAAAGTTATTGAGGGTGATCAATTTTTTAGTTTGCACACTGTACATCCTCTTGAGTGGAAGAAAATGCGATTTTAAGTACAAAAATAACCTAATAAATACGATAAAATATTTATTCACTTAATTATACTTAGTTAATTTTTAAATTATTTTTGATTTTTGCTTAAAGAATGATTCGTAGCCCTTCTTACAATATAAAGATATTTCTATTGTGTATTTCCTCACATGTTGGTCATGAATCAGGATCCAGTCGACCATAATAAGATATCCATAATAAGATATGGCATAAAAAGGTTAATTGACCAGGTTAATTGAGTTAAAAGGTTATTTGACCATTCTTATAATTTTTTCCCTTTAATTAAAAATTACGATCAACGACGATAAAACCAATTGCAATTTCTGCATAGACAATCGCTTTGTAAAGACTAACAACAGAAAAAATGGCCTTAAAATTTAAATTTTTTTTTCTTTAAATTTCTAAAATTATAGCAGATGTTGTTGTCAAATATATCATATTTTATTTATTTTTAACAGCCGACTCAAATTTGAGTTTACGATTACCAATGTAGAAATGTAAATTTTGAACCCAATCCAGAAGACAAGGGAGCTCCAGAATCAAGTATTTGGAGAAATTTGCCTTCGTGGAGGACTTTTTGATCGAACCAACCAGGATATGAGTTACATGGTGAGGAAAAACACGAAAACCTCCCGCAGTTAGACTGACGGCAAAGGGATAACCCATGATCTGTCTACCACTTAGGATATTGTACGTCAGCACTGTGGTCGGTGCCGGTAGGGAGCGGAATTCGCATAGACTAACCCTCCCTGGGAATCAAACCCGGGGTCACCTCATTGGCAGGCCAGTGCCCTAGCCCCAGATCCGGTACGGCTTTCTTAAATATATTGTATATTATATTTCAATACCGTCGTTGAACAGCTAACCTAATTTTGGGCGACCAATGATCCCGCATTTGCGTTTTAGGTAGTGGAAAACTGCGAAAACCTCCCACAGTTAGCCTGACTGTAAGGGGACTATAATTCATGATCAGTCTACCACTGAGGATATTTTATATCAGCACTGTGGTCGGCGTGAGCGGAAGTCGTAAAGACCAGCAATCGCTGCCGCTGGACTCGACCCCGGTTCACCTTATTCGAAGGCGAACGTTCTATCCCCTGAGTCACCACGCCGTCAAATATATTGAGACGCAGGTGGTTATGTATATAAAAAAACATTCTCTACATTTACGTTCATACTTACTAATGAAATAGAAGATTACGAAAAGGGCGCCAAGAGAAATGTATACGAGGAAATGTATTCTTGTAGGAAATCCCCACTTCCGGATGAAGTTTACAATATCACCCAACCTGTAATTGAAAAAAGAAGGAAAAAAAACTATCATATTTATTAAGACAAATAAATAATCGAAAAATGTCACTTATTTTAACAATTTTTCTTTATATATTTCATAAAAAAATAATTGTTATTTGATGACATACCTTAATAATATAAGGATGTTTCGTAAATACCTTACTTAACATATATTTTTAGATCCCTTGTGAAAATAAAATTTAAAAAAAAATATTAAAGTGATCGGAAAATTAATATCTAAGGGACTAATAAACAAGGGCAGAATCAGAATTACTCTAATCACTGCGAGTTATTGCTAACGTCATCTAGTGTACATTTTCATAAATAGAGTGATATAGATAAAACGAGTTACTTCATCTCGATTTACTGATAAACGAGTGATTTATCAGTTAATCCACTCATTATATTTCGATCCAACCTAGAATTCATTATTCAACTTTATAGGATTCACCGACCTCCCCAACAAATTTCAATAGGTATGTAATCATTCACTTTAGAACAGCGCTTATAAAATGATGTTCCACGGAAAACTAGGGGTACCGAGAGTTTGTATTTTTAATAACCAGTGAAGAGTTTCAAATCCTCTCATTATATTTCGATCCAACCTAGAATTCATTATTCAACTTTATAGGATTCACCGACCTCCCCAACAAATTTCAATAGGTATGTAATCATTCACTTTAGAACAGCGCTTATAAAATGATGTTCCACGGAAAACTAGGGGTACCGAGAGTTCGTATTTTTAATAACCAGTGAAGAGTTTTAAATCCTCTCATTATATTTCGATCCAACCCAGAATTCATTATTCAACTTTATAGGATTCACCGACCTCCCCAACAAATTTCAATAGGTATGTAATCATTTACTTTAGAACAGCGCTTATAAAATGATGTTCCACGGGAAACTAGGGGCTCCGAGAGTTTGTATTTTTAATAACCAGTGAAGAGTTTTAAATCATTTTATTAAAATTCCATCCAATCTGGAATTCATAATTTATTTAATCTTTCGGTTGCCTTTATGAAATTATTTCAAATGAAATGGCAATGAAATAGAGACGGCATTTTTTAAAAAAAGTATATAATATTTCTAATAACAGTACATTGAATAAATTATGAAAAAGACAAACATTTATAAAACATTGCATTAGTATTTCCTATCACGCTTTTCAATTCAACTAGGGCTACCGAGAGTTTGTATTTTTAATAACCAGTGAAGAGTTTTAAATCCTCTCATTATATTTCGATCCAACCTAGAATTCATTATTCAATTTATAGGATTCACCGACCTCCCCAACAAATTTCAATAGGTATGTAATCATTTACTTTAGAACAGAAACTTTCTTTATTAAATTCTTTAATAAAGAAATATAACCATCTTCAACGTTTATTGCAGTTCTCTTAATTTTTCATTTTGAAGTAAATCATAATTCGGCTTATTCATTTTCAGCTTATTTATATACGCTAACGTGATTGATCGAAATCAAGAGAATGTCAACTTTCACCGGTTAATGTCAACAATCGCATAGTCGCTTTGGTGAATGGCAGAATTATTTGTTATATCCGATTTTATATTAATTTCTTCGTTAATATTATTATATTTATTCGATATTTTAATATCTGCTGAGGATAGATTAGGAAAAAAAACAATGTTCTAACAACAAACTTAGAGCAGCATTCAATACCATAAAGCTGGCAGTTGTGAAAAAAAAGAGAACATGGAGGACTTTGTGACCAGACAAATGTAACGTGCACCAGTCCCCATTTACTACACGGAAGTAACCTTCTTAGTTTTATTTATTGAAATTAAGGCCTTTTTTGTTGTTACATTGACTCAGTTAACATCATGAATCAGACGTAATTATTAATTGTCTGTGACTTAAATTTAAACCTAATTTTTGTGAGAGAGCTTAAAGTTAAGAACCTTTTGAGAACTGAAATGCTCTAAAAGGAAATAAAATAACAATGCTGAAAGAGTCATGCATTTAGAGGAAAAAAATTTCTAAAAACAGGAATAATCTTTCGAAGAAAAAAAGCTTGATTAAATACAATGAATGAATTCATTACTTGGTAACAATTATTATCGTGATAAGTAATTCAACGTTTAACAAAGCATCACCCAATTCGTTTTAAAACATAATCATATGAATAGAATATTTTATTACTTCTTTGTTGGAATCCAAGGTAAAATCAAGCAAAACACGACGAATTCTTCCAATAATATTAAAAAACTTAGAGCAGCATTCAATACCATAAGGCTCGCAGTTGTAACTGAAAAAAAGAGAAGAAAAAAAGTGTATGTAGCAACAATGTATCATATAGGATGTGTCTAAGAGTAGCAATTTTAAGTGCGACCACTTTTTCAAAGATTAAAAATTTAACACAAATAAAAATTTGATATGAATAATGCGTTGCTCTTGAAATGTTGTGAAGTACAGTATACTCTCAATATCTCAAAGTTGAAGGGATGCTAAACAATTTTCGAGATAGCGGGTTTTCGAAATAACAAGTTCCGAACTAAATATTTCTTTAAAAAGTAGAAAGTCCCGCAGCGGACTGATCGTTAAAGCACGGTTCCCAACAGAACACCGAAGTCAAGCATCACTGGCTGCGGACAGTTTGCGGGTGGGTGAACACTTGGATCAGTCTACGAAGGGACCGAGGATGTTCGGTATTGGTCCTCGTTAAACTGCTCTACCGGAACGTAAAGTGCTCGACTTCGCGCGCAGTTGGTTGGGTTACCAAAGCTGGGGTCCACCCCCTCTGCAGAGGATCAAAATTGTGATAACATGTCTTTGGGTCATCCTCAAGGATGTTTCCCAGACCGTAGCCAAAAAGGCCATTGTGCAGCTCTAGTGCACTGTAAATAAACAACAACAACAAAAAGTAGAAAAATGTATTCTAAAATACTAATCTAAAATGTAGAAAGATGAAACATAAAAATGACTATGAATACATATGTATGTAATGATAGTTGGTTATAAGTCTAAATAAAACGATGATAATTTTATTTTTAAAAGTGAGACGCAAATAATTATGCATTAAATCGAAAAGAATTGGTTCGCAATAAACTTCCCGAAAAAATTCATATTTCATTTCGAAAAAAAATTGACGTAACAAGGTTTTGAGAAGAAACTGTTTGACATACAAATTCAAATTAACATTTAGTGGATATATAATGTCAAGGGGAAATGATGATTTTTTTTTTTTTTTATGTAACTAAAGTTTGAGTCATCGAAAAAGCTCATTACTGTAACAAGAAGAAGAAAAAAAAGCAAGCGCAAAATAAAAATTTTTTTTTAATTTTTCAGAATACTCATAATTATTCCATATTAATTTACATAATATTAATAAATTCCGCATGGGGTGCAAATTTTTGACGAAAAAAATCATGATCGGTTGATAACTGGCAGACGATTATATTTAGTTTCCTTGAGGCCACTGTAGAACAGAATTAACGGCTGCTAAACCGTTAATTCTGCCTTATAGGGGACCATAAATGGTTTTTCGTGGTAAGCAGACCATTAATTTAAAAAAAAATTCAAAGCGCTAAGTAGATTTAAACTAGCTTTTTTTTTAAATTATAATAAACTGCGCAGAAATACAGTGGTGATTATTGCTTTTTTATGTATTGTATAAAATATCGGAGTAATGAGTTTAAACTTTCATACATTTTTTTAAGTCTATATAGATGCTTATAAATATTAAAATTGAGCACTTATCCTTGCTTGAAATCTACACATTTTTTTCTAATTTTATGTCAATGTTATGAGAAATCTAATTTTTTGTACAGCACACTGAGTTAATATCATATCAATTGGAAGAGCTGAAAAAATTTTTTATGCTAATCGAAGTGGTACAGGTAGTGGTCCCGCAGTGGACTGATCGTAAGGACATGGTTACCAGTCGAACACCCAAGTCAAGCATCAGTGGCCGCTGTCCGTAAGCAGGTGGATGACCGCTTTGATCAACCTGCGTAGGGACTAAGAGTGCGCTGTATCGGCACTCGTTAAACTGTTCTACCGCAAAGTGCTTGACTCAGGTCGTCGGGCTACCAAAGCAGGTGAGCCATCTCCTCTGCAGAGAATCATCCTCGGGGATGTTTCCCAGACCGTCGCCAATAGCCCATTGTGCAGCTCTATTGCGACGTAAATAAAGTACCAACCTACCTATTCAGGTAGGAAAAAATTTGATAAAATTTCCGCACTGTATGGTAATGACATTTCGGATTTAAAAAAATCACATTTCTGATTAATAAACCAAAATATACTGTACCTATTTATACCATTCTTGGTAAATTTTACATTCATATTTCGTTCATTTGACTTTAAAAACTGTAGTTCTTATTACCATACATATAGTAAAAAATACAAGTCTGAAACGTAAATTTAGCCGAATAAATAATTTTCATGCCATGCTTTAAAATGATAAAATCGCCAAATTTTATCGCATTTGCCTTAATTTTATCACACATTATAAAGTCATATTTTATTTCTTAATTCCACCTATATCATTACCCAAGCACTTCTGTAAAAGTTACCGAGCGCTTTGATATTACCACCGAGTCGGAAACTCGGTAAATTTTACCATTTTTCTGGCTCATACGTTTACCATATTACGGTAGTTTTGCCCACACTCTTAGTCTCAGTGTATATTTTTGAAATACAGAGTGTTCCGCATTAGCGAGGGTTGTCAAGATTGTGCCGTTGCACTCCCTTGAAATCCAATTTGGTTTAAACAACAAAAAATAGAAATAACTAAAAATTTAAACTGTTCCCATTCATACACAGAGCTCAAAAGTTGCAGTCATTTCTCAACAAATTGTTAAATTTAATACCATAACTATTAACTTATAAAGTTTTTTGATAATTTGACGATACATCAAGAAAAATCTACAATAAAAAGTTATAGAAAAAAAAAATTCAAAAATTTTTTTGTGCTCAAAATTCTATACCATAATCTAATACCGTATTTAATTTTAAAAATTTAAATAAGTTCCGATTTTTCTTCGTAATGTTTAAATGATGTTCGAAATTTAAATTTTTTGGTCAATGTTTATCAGTTTCAGAGATTTAATTAGCCAGCGAATTAGAGAGATTTAATTTGGCGAGTGAAAATTTCTAAAACGAACATATAAAATTTATATTAGAATTAAAAATAAAAGTTTGTAAAAGATGTTTTGAAATGTTAAAATAACCAGGGCTAGTATCATCATCATCATAGTTGGCCAGACAGCCCAATGTGAGCCAATGCCTTCCTCTGAAGATTTCCCCATGACGATTTTAAGAAATGCATTTCTTGCATATGTGATTGTTTTTACCTTCATTAAACATTATCCATGCTTTTTTTATTTATTTATTTATTTATTTTTTTTGCATTTTTCAGACTTACTTTTCTTTTTTTAACATTTTTTACGACTTTTAAATGGTATTTTTCATTTTAAGAGAATTTCGCTCATTAATTATTTTTTTTTTTATAATTAGTAAACATTTTACATTGGATCTAAATTTCCTCCAATAACAAGCGTTAAAGTTGAGCAGAATTTTTAATAAAAAAAATTTGCTGTTGGACAATAAGCAATCATTCAATTTTAAAAATATTAAAAAAACATCTGATAATACAATGCAGTTCCGATGTTTTTGAAGACTATTTATCTTTATCATTCATTCTTTTTTCATTCTATTTTATTCATAAATGACAAATTTATTTAATTGCTATCTTAATTTTTTTTTTACTAAATTTATAAGTACAAGAGGTATGACTTATAATTTTTATTCAAATATTAAATTTTTCTTTGTTATAAAAGATATTAAAAATCATGCTTTCGAAAATTGTTAAGGTCATTATTTCTTATAAATTAATTCTTATTTATCTTTATCATGTATTTATCTAAATTTTATTTTATTCATAAATTGCAAATTTATTTTAATTGCTGTCTTTTTTACGAAATTTTTAAATACAAGGTACGACTTACAATTCTTTAACTCAAATATTAATTTTTTTTATTATAAAAGATATTATATAAATCAGGATCTCGAAAATTTTTAAAGTCATTATTTTTTATAAATTAATTCTTATTTATTATGTATTTATTTACATTTTATTTCATTCATAAATTACAAATCTGTTTCAATTTCTATTTCATTTTTTCTTGAATTTATAAATATAAGGTACAATAAGAAGAGGTATAATAAAAAAAATTACAAGTTAACTTTTAATTTTTTTTATTATAAAATATAATATAAAACATGCTTTCGAAAATTTTTAAGGTCATTCTTTTTTTTATTTATTTATTTCTAGGACGTTTTTAATCGTTTTTAGTGGTCTTTTTTATGCATTTTAATAGCATTTTCTAAGAATACTTTTAAGTTATCAACATCCTCTTCCTAACTATTTGCTAACAATCATAGCTTTGTTTTATCAATTACAAAGATGCTATTCATTCATATTTTAAATGATTCCATCTTGATACGACCGATAAACATTGCGAATCACATAGAATATGCGATCAAGATATAAAGAATGTGTCTTACCTACAGTGGCTATATAAAGCAATGTGTCTACGCTATAGCGATAACAGTAATAAATCTTTCTCAATACCAATGAAAAAAAGCTGAGAAGCACCATGACACTTATAAAATGGATATCGTCGAGGCAGGCGTTTCATTGTAGTATTTGAAACTGATAAATAAAGCGATAAAGCTTCTCGCTCTCTTACTTTGTTTTGTTGCTTTCCAATAATTTGAGTTAAGGAAGACGTTTAACTTTCAGTAGGAAACTTCGAACTTTAGTGTGAAAGTTATCAACTGTCAACGGATAATTGCACGTGTAACCTCAGATTGCTCGAAAGCCTTAAAAAGTGGGAGAAAAAAAAAGATAATAATAATGTACAGTTAAAAAAAAGGAACACCTTGACTAACTTTTGATCTGACCATCGGATTTCCACGTAATGAAACTCAACCTTAATGGTTTAAAGAGGTGACCTCAAATATGCTTATTAAATAGTGCAGACGTTCGCGTGCTCGAACCCCGCCGGCCGAGGACTCCCCGTGCAGTAAATGGTGACTGATGCACGTTAAATCTGTCGAGTCGCAAAGTCCTCAATATCTCTGGTTCTCTGGAGTACTGGATTGTAGATCAATCGCTCTCTGATTCAGGTCAAAATTACGATCTGTGGATGAATGAATGAATGTGTGAATGGGTCCATCCTATAAACGGGTGCGACGTCTGGGTGTGGCAGATGTCAAATTCTTGGCCATAGATGGCGCCACTGGAAAACAAGAACAATTGCACCCCCTCTGCCTAAACAGGCGTACGAGAGAGAGAGAGAGAGAGAAATAGTGCAGACGATATTTTAAGTTACGAAAATTACACAAAAATGTACTTTATGTATTTAAAATATGTGATAGCCAAAATCTGGGAAATAGGGTTCACATAATTTTGGCCAGCAAAGCGATCCAAAGTTTGGTCTTGTTAGTTAATGTTAATTTTACTTTTACCAAACTTGAACCAGGAATTCCCTTTTCCTCTGGATTGGGTTCAAAATCACAAGACTGCGGAGTTGAACATTAGCAGTCGTAAACCCAAGGGTCGGCTATTCAACGATGGCTATAAAATAAAGTAATGGGGGCATTCGCATTCTTTGAAATATGGTCCCAATAGTTTGGACAGGAAAGCGGTCGAAAAAATAAGAGCCCCTTAATGTTAATTTTACCTTTTGCGTAATTAGCCATCTCTCGAGAAATTGAAAACATTTTTGCACACAATTATAAAGTTTGATTATCCAAAAATAATTCCATAAAGCAAATAATTTTTAATAATTATTTAGTAATTATTATCAATTATTTATTATGTATAATAGTTGAGAAATGTTGAATTTTAAATGCAAAATTTTATATTGGAAAATACAAATTTCGTCCAAAAAACAAATTTCGTCGCACTGAAAATCCAAATGTTCATTATTTTCGTTTTGTATATTGGAAAACCCAAAATTTGGAAGCAATCGATGGCATATTTTTTGAGAAATCAAATTTTGAATAAAAAACTTTTTTTTAAATTTAATAACTCAGAAACTATTCGACTAATTCGAGGTGAAATATTCTAGAAGCTGACAATTAATTGCAGCTAGCTTATTCATGAAAGACTCAGAAATGTTTTTCATGAATTTCACGTTGATACAGTATTTAATACAAAATTCAGCTGTAGATTACACGGTTTACGTCCCCTCGCAGGTGAAGCAATAAGCTTATCAGAAAACCAAATCAATGAAAAAGAAGATGTGTCAACGTCAACACATTTTTTTTTCCCTTCAAATTTAGAATAATCCGGGTATAGAACAATCGAATTCCTTGCCAGTTTCATCACTTGGCAGAATATTTTTATGAAAACGATAATTTTTTTAAACATATTAAATCATGTTTCGATTAATATTATCTCTGTTCTATATCCTCACTGCTTGCCCAACAAAAAGGTTTCGATTAGCTTTATCATTTAATGACACGATAAAAACACAGATGTCATTTCCAGCGTTATCGGTGTCTCTTCATCGTTGGTAAATAAATGGTTCATGTTTATTCATTGCCCAAAGATAGTTGGTAAACAAACGATTTTTGTAGATAAGAATGTGACGCAATTTATCACAATTAAAGGTCTTTAGACTATAAAAAAAGAAAATTATATTTCGTAAAATGAAGCATCGTTTTTAACTGGTAATCGCTTAACCATCCGGAGCGGGAAATTATCTATTAGTAATAAAAAAAAAATTCTATCATAATAAATGGAAGAGTTAGTGCGCGTGTATGTAGCTCTGTTATAATATAAAACAGTTCATACTATCGTCCTGAAATTTTCACAGAGGGTGAAAGTCGTTCAAAAAGTTCAGTTAGGTCGTTCGATCCGTAATGGCTCAGGGGATAGAGCGCTCGCTATCCAATGAATTGAACTGGGTTCGAATCCCAGCGATGGCTGGTCGATATGAATTCCGCATCGGCTCGCATCGACCACAGTGCTGACGTAAAATATCCTCAGGGGTAGACGGATCATGGGTTAAAGTCCCCTTGCCGTCAGGATAATCGTGTTAGGTCTTCGTGGTTTTCCTCTTCTTGCAACACAAATGAGGATTCGTTTCTTTAAAAAGACTCCTCATCGAAGGCAATTTCTCCCAATACTTGATTCAGGAGTTCCCTTGTCTTCTAGATTGGGTTCGAAATTACGAGGCTATAAAGTTGAACATTAGTTGTCGTAAACCCAAAATTGGGTTGGCTGTTCAACGACGGTTATAAAAAAAATAGATGCACTTAGTAAATTTTCAGCTTATCAGCACTTTTAAATTAAACCTACGCCTGCAAAACATCTTAAAAAAATTTATTTGCATCCTCAGAATTTTTTTTATTTATTATTATTCTCAAAATTTATAAAGGTAGAACGCAAAACTATAGAATACTTAACTTGTTTTTCGGGCAATTTACCAAAAATTTTTTCAAAAATTAACAGTTTGAGAATTGAATCATTATTGTCAGTCATAATTTAATTTTTCATTTAAGTATTTTTTTTAATTATTGCATCCCTACGTTACGATTTCCGTATAATAAATTTTTCAGGACATAAAAAATGTCGTTTGCACCAAATGTATCTTTTCGAAATTGTAATTAAACATTTCATGCCACTTAAATACGTATACATAAATAAAAATGATGACTTTTTAGAATTTTCAAAGCACTTTATAGCAAGTATATCCAATTTCCGCAACAACAGAAAATAATTTTCTCTAGTGACATCAAAGTCAATGTATTAATATTTTAGTAAATTAGGATTAAAATAATTTTACCCATTATTTATTTAAACAGATATTCAAAAGTTCAGACTGACAAATGGTCATAATCTAAAGTTCTGATGAAATTTTTATCAAAATTCTATTTCCTTGAAGGATTCTTGCCTTAATTCCCAACCTATGAAAAAATAATTTGCACACAGTTTGAATATTGTCTGATACCTAATTTACATTGTTCGAAAACTCAATCCTTTTCAGGAAAAAAATCGGCTTTGGCCGGCTCTGTAGTTTATTGTGCGAAAAGAATACGAATTTTCCACTTTCATTCAAAATTTACATCGAAGCGACAATAGGAAGCAAGTGTGCAGTTTCAAGTCCTTTTACATTTTTAATTAAGTAAAAAATTCCTGCCCAAAATTGTCAATTATTAAAGTAAATTCAATGTATCGTGCAATACGCCTCAAATTGTTTATAAAAAAAATTCGTTTTCAACTAGCATGAATTGTCATTTAAATTGTTTTCAAATTACATTTGCTACTTAACGTACAAAGAGCAGTGCTTAAACCTAAAAACTAGTTTCATCATTTTCACATGTTCATGATACTTAAACATTCTGTGTTCTGCTTAAAACGATATTATCTAAGTTAATCACACACACACGAGTGCAACTGAACTATCTCGTTTAAGCCACGTTTATATAACTTCATGGAAGATATTTTAAGGTATCCGACTACCTTAAAAAAAAGAATCCTGACAAAAAAATCACGTTTTTGTTTTAGTGTCTTACTAGCTGAATACCCGTTCTTCGCACGGGGTCAATAACAAAAAAAAATCAATAAATCAGTACTGAGAAACAAAACTGAAAAGCATATACAGACACAGTTAAAAATGGAAGAACCACGTGAACGACATTTTTAGGGGCATTCGGGAAAATAACATAAAGTGGTTGATTCAAAATGGGTAGGTTTAATGTAACAGAACTTTTTTGCTTTCACTTTTATCTTAACATAACTCAACCATATTTTTTGGCATTTTTCATTTTATTTTGAATTTGAAAATAAAGAAATATTACTGTCTTACGTATGCATTACTCATAGTCCTCTTTCCTTAACAGCAAAAATAAGTAAATCACAAATATGTCCACCCCCCTGGTTTCTACGTAATATTCGAACTACCCCTCAAGTATCACTATTTGGGGAGGTTTAAAAGTCAATAATCATATTAATTAAATAATTCGTAATCTTAATTTTTTGATGAGAAAGACGGCAACTGCATTTATTATTAATTTTTTTTAAAGAGTCGAATTAGGACAACGTCTATTATTCCATACGCAGACAGAAGATAAGTTTTATCGCTTGCGATTAGAACAAAACACGCGATCAGATGACACAAAAGTAACTTTTCCTGTTTTGTTGCGTTGTACAATAAAAATTAATTCAGTTTGTTTTTTCAAACCTTGACGAAAAAAACGACTGCGATTTCCATCTATGTTTTCGTAAAAACAGAATGCAAAAAGGCTGAACGATTGCTAAACTTTCATTTCCTTTTAAATTAAGTGCTCACGTCACAACCGGAGAAGTATTACTTACAGAGAAAGTCGATGATTCAGTAATTTTTTTTCACCTCTTCTTCGTTTCACTTATCTCGTTTTCAATCCAACAATTTCTTTTTCTCTTAATCCTTTCTCTTCTTTTTCACGCAAGGCTGTGGCTTCTAATATCGATACAGTATGGATTAACCAATTTGGTTTTGGACTATTACATAAATAAGTAAGTCGCATTTATGTATGAATTAAATCGTGGTAGAGTTTGATTTTATGAAATTAAGAAAACGTGAAAAAAGGAGTTACACTTCTTCTGTATTTTTTCTTCGTGTATAATTAAACGGATGGAATTTCCGTATTCAATTAACCTAAATACCCAGCGTCCAATACATTGATCACCATTTAGGAGAATTTTACCCGTAAAATATTATATTTTGTGATTATTTTTTCAATTTGTATGCTTTTACAAAGCATTATTTTTTCAATTTGTATGCTTTTACAAAGTGTTATTTTTTCAATTTGTATGCTTTTGCAAAGCGATTGTCTATGTAAAAATATCTTTCGATTTTTCTTCGTCGATCGAATTTTTTAGCCTTTTAGAAAGTTTTCTGGTAAATTTCCATATTTAAGTCCAATGGATTGTTTTGTGACTAAAATGTGAAGAATAGACTTTAAAATATATCATAACAAGTACAAAAAATTATAAAAATTAAAATTTGCTAATTAATAAGTAATAATTGAAATAAACTAAAAAAGTTACTCAAGTTAATGGAAATTTTTTTCTTCAAGCATTTGTCTATGTAAAAATGTATTCCGATTTGTCTTCATCAATCGAAGTTCGTTGACGACAAATAAAAAATAATGGTTAAGATATTTGATACAAAGTAAACTTTTAGTAAGTTCTCTGGTAAATCTCATCATTTGAGTCTAATGGATTTTTTATGACTAAAATGTGAAGAATAGACTTTAAAATATATCATAACAAGTACAAAAAATTATAAAAATTAAAATTTGCTAATTAAAAAGTAATAATTGAAATAAACTAAAAAAGTTACTCAAGTTAATTGAAATTTTTTTCTTCAAGCGATTGTCTATGTAAAAATGTATTCCGATTTGTCTTCATCAATCGAAGTTCGTTGACGACAAATATAAAATTATGGTTAAGAAATTTGATTCAAGTCAAATTTTTGAAAGTTTTCTGGTAAATCTCATTATTTGAGTCCAATGGATTTTTTTGTGACTAAAATGTGAAGAAATATGCTTAATATCCTAACAATTACAAAAAATTATAAAACTTAATATTTACAAATTAATAAGTAATAATTGAAAATAACTAAAAAAGTTACTCAGATCAATTGAATTTTTTTTCAAGATATTGTCTATGTAAAAATATATTCTGATTTGTCTTCATCAATCGAAGTTCGTTGACGACAAATATAAAATTATGGTTAAGAAATTTGATTCAAGTCAAATTTTTGAAAGTTTTCTGGTAAATCTCATTATTTGAGTCCAATGGATTGTTTTGTGACTAAAATGTGAAGAATAGACTTTAAAATATATCATAACAAGTACAAAAAATTATAAAAATTAAAATTTGCTAATTAAAAAGTAATAATTGAAATAAACTAAAAAAGTCACTCAAGTTAATTGAAATTTTTTTCTTCAAGCGATTGTCTATGTAAAAATGTATTCCGATTTGCCTTCATCAATAGAAGTTCGTTGACGACAAATAAAAAATAATGGTTAAGATATTTGATAAAGTAAACTTTTAGTAAGTTTTCTGGTAAATCTCATCATTTGCGTCCAATGGATTTTTTTATGACTAAAATGTGAAGAATAGACTTTAAAATATATCCTAACCAATACAAAAAATAATAATAAAAATTAATATTTACTAATTAATAAGTAATAATTGAAAATAAATTAAAAAGTTACCCAGGTTAATTGATGTAAAAATTTATTCCGATTTGTCTTCGTTGATCAAAGTTTTTAACGACGCAAAAAAAATTATGCTTAAGAAATTTTATTCAAGTAATCATTTAGAAAGTTTTCTGGTAAATCTCATTATTTGAATCTAATGGATTTTTTTTATGACTAAAATGTGAAGAGATACACTTAAAAATATATCCTAACAAATGCAAAAAATTTATAAAAATTAAAATTAATAAGAAATAATTGAAAATAACTAAAAACGTTATTCAAGTTAATAGAATTTTTTTTTTCATTAAAATATTTCTTTTCATTCATGAGTTCACTTTCTTCTAAACTACATATTTCTAATTAAAAAGAGAATTTTCTGCCATTATATAAAACTTGGTCTCAGAATAAACTGAATTAACTATTTAATTTATTTGAATATTTATTAATTCGTTTCATTCAATGTTATAAATACTAGTGTTCTACTTAACTTAGTTACCAAATTTTAAAATTTTCAATATTTTTTAACCCATTTGGGGTCAATGTTCCCATTTTGGGAATATGTCTTATTAATTGAAGTTAAAAAGTGGTAACTTAATTATTTCATTCCTAGCTTTATTAAATACATATCCCTTTATAATATAATGTTAATATAAATGTTTGAAATCATTCAATTGTGGTCATTTTTTTTTCTTTTGAAACTGAAGGTGATAGCTAATAATAGAAAATATCCATTTTATCAGGCCAAAATGCCACACTACTCTTGTTATGGAGATGCGATTTCTTGTAACTACAAAGTTGTTGCATCCTCGGCGAGGAACTTAGTTATTAATTTTAAATGCTTCAATTAAAATTTAAACTTTAGTAAAAAAAATACACATTACTGTGTAGTAAAACATATTTCAATCTATAAAATGAAACAAAACTTCTTTAAAATATTAATTAATTTCACAAAGAATAAAGAAATTCCGTTCTCCATCTAGGTTAACACGGTGAATCAGTTTTCTCTTAAGAGCTCCCAGCACAAATATTAAATTAATTTTGAAGCAATTTTCGCGCAATTTAATGGAAGCGATTCTTTAAATCAACCAATGTTAGTTTATAATTTTCTTTATGAAAAAAGAAAAAATAAATAAACCAATACAAGATCAAACTCACATAAAGTCATGTTTTTATCCATTGTGAAAATCGGAGTTGTTCCATGTTTTTTTTTTATGTCTGCACACTTTTTGTCTAAATCAATCTCATTGACTATTCATAGTTCAACTTCAACACCATAATCGCATAAAAAGAGTGCTAAGAGTCATAAAAAACCAAACAAACATAAGCATTAACAAAAAGACAGCACAAAAAAAGAAAAGAAAAGAAAGAAAAAAAGAAAAAAACAGACGATAATTTCGGAACTTCTTGGAAACAATGGGATAGTGCAAGGGACGTAGTGCGGGGTATCTCAATCATAATTGGTTTTTAAAACGTGGCATTTGTTTACGTTAGCAACAGTTCTTTCCATTTTATTTTGAGTAAGTCCAGCCTGTCAAATATTAATTCCCTTAAATAATACATTCTATAATCTCACATAAAGATTCTTTCGCAAAGATTTCAGTTCTTTCACAGTATATTTCTTACTTAACACAAAGACAGGCATGAAGCCACGTAGAACATAAACAAACTAATTATGCATCAAAGTTGCCAGATACGCAACAACAAAAAAATCACTGTTGCAATAAAATACATTAACAAGTAATAAATCTATGTCATTGTATTTAATTAACTTCTCTTTAATTAACATTCTAACTTATGTGGAGAAACTTAGCTCAGCTTAACACGCCATTTTACTTGTAAGCGATCAGCTGCCGTCATAGGTGTGGGTATCGTGGTTTTCTTCCTCTTGAAGTGATAGTACCCAATTTTAAAGTGTTTTTTCTTGCTTTAAAATTTGTCTAGCCTTTGATGTTTAAGGATTTTCACGAAAAGAAATTGAATATTGAAATTAGCAGAATTAACAAAACAGAAAAGTTATCGTAAACTACAAATGATTGCACAAAATATAAATTCTGGAATATTTTCGAAAATGATTTAAGGTATCCGACTACCTTCATGTCCCCACACTTTTCGATTCGATCAACTTAATGTAAATAACACCATAATTGTAAATAAAGAGTTATAAGAATCATAGAATTTAGGTTAGCATAAGCATAAATAACAAAGCAGCACATATCATATAAAAAAATCAGACGAATTTTGGAGTTAATGTTCTAGTTGATGGTTTTCGGACTGAGTTTTTATCTTTTTATGTTTTCTTGCTCAAGAAACAAATTCTTACTCTTTCGCTACTCTCCTTTTCCAAACAGCTTAAACTAAAGTTTGGTAAGAATACAGACATTTCATTAAATTATATTTAAAAAATTCTTGTGTCTAATATTATTTCACTATACATGCTTCGTTACAGCTAAATTAAAAAATACTCAACTGAAATAATCCAATGTGTTTTACTGTATAATATTATTTTATTGTATTTAAATTTTGTTTCACATATTTAGTTTTCGATTTAGTGAAACCTATTATACCATTGTAATTTCCTCTACAATTTCGTTACTTTTTAAGAAAAAACAACTCCGATATACTTTTTTTTTTCATCCTAAAAATACTTATTTAGTGTTTTCTACCCAACAGATTATTTAGTAATATAGTACGAAATGTTAATTCCTAATGATATTTTACATTTTTGTATTCACTATCGAAATTGCCTTTACCTATTAGTCAGTGGGTACAGTTTTACCTAAACCTTATAATAAAGGAAAGTATTACTTAATTACCGTTCAACAATTTTAAAATGGTTGATAAGTTTTGATGCCGATTGAAACCGGTTTAACAAAAACTGCTGTATAATAAGATGATATCAAATGAATAATAATAATAAAAAAACACCGGTTGCAATTTTAATCCATTAAACAACCAAACATGACAACCAACGAAATTTGAAATTTCAAGTGAGAAAATCAGATCATATTATGTAGTTAATCCCCCATTAAAATACACTTTATCAGTTTCATTTAATTGTTATATAGATTTTTAAAAGAAAATAAAACTTTTCTTTTGATAAAGTCTTATTTTCAAAAATGAAATGAATCAAGTTCTATTTTACTAATGGATAATTACAAATTATGATCATGTTCTAGATTATCATTTATAATACTGAACGAAGATCTAGTTTAGTAATGAATATAAAATCTATACCAGGGATGGCGAACCAATGGCACGCGTGCCATTTATGGCACCCAACACAATATTTTGGGCACGCCACCGATC